TTTGACCGAAAGTTTGTTTTTGCGAACCATGTCTCCAAATCTGTTGGGGGGCTGCGAAACGTTTTGAACGAAACTTTGGAGCGAGACGTTTTGACCGTCCTGGGGCTTGGGCGGGGGCTGGGGCTGGGCTGGGGTCGAACCATCATAGAAATTGAGTCCCCAAAACTTGTTGACGAAACGTTTTGAACGAAAGTGTGGGGGGCTGTTGCTGGCGCTGGTGGGGCTGCTGGGACTGGGGCTGCTGGGGGGCTTGTGGGGCTTGGGGGGGCTAGAGGGGGGGGGGGGCCAAAAAACGTTTTCAACGAAACCTTTCAACGAAACGTTTGCACCGAAACTTTTCAAGGGAACGTTTCTTCTTTTGAACTCACACTTTGAGTTTGGGGGGAGGGAGGGGAGGGGGCCGATAGAACGTACACACATGTATGTGCGGGGGAACATATATGTGTGTGCGGGGGAACACACATGTGTACGCGGGGGAACACGCATGTGTGTGTGGGGGAACACACATGTGTGTGCGGGGGAACACACATGTGTGTGCGGGGGAACACACATGTGTATGCGGGGGAACACACATGTGTGTGTTCGAAGCAACACACGTGCGCGTGCGGGGGAACACACATGTGCGTGCGGGGGAACATACATGTGTGTGCGGAAGAACACACATGTGTATGCGGGGGAACACACATGTATTTGCGGGGGAACACACATGTGTATGCGGGGGAACACACATGTGTGTGCAGGGGAACAGACATGTGTGTGCGGGGGAACACACATGTGTGTGCGGGGGACCGCGCTGTTGGGGGCCTTGTTGATGGACGTTCGCGTAGTTCTGCAGGAGGAGTCGTACCAATGGCATCGAGTATATTGATGCAGCGATGAGGAGAGGGTTCCCCCGCACACACATGTGTGTTGCCCCGCACACCCACATGGGTGTTCCCCCGCATACACATGTGTGTTCCCCCGCGAACACATGTGTGTTCCCCCGCCTACACATGTGTGTTCCACCGTACACACACGTGTGTTCCCCCACATACACATGTGCCTTCCCCGGCACACACATGTATGTTCCCCCGCACACACATGTGTGTTCTGCACACACACATGTGTGTTCCCCCGCACACACATGTCTGTTCCCCCGCACACACGTGGATGTTCCCCCGCATACACATGTGTGTTCTTCCGCACACACATGTGTGTTCCCCCGCACACACATGTGTGTTCCACCGTACACACATGTATGTTCCCCCGCACACACATGTGTGTTCCCCCGTACACACATGTATGTTCCCCCACACACACATGTGTGTTGCCCCGCACACCCACATGGGTGTTCCCCCGCATACACATGTGTGTTCCCCCGCGAACACATGTGTGATCCCCCGCACACACATGTCTGTTCCCCCGCAAACACATGTATGTTCCCCCGCACACACATGTGTGTTCCCCGCATACACATGTGTGTTCCTGCGCACACACATGTGTATTCCCCCGCACACACATGTGTGTTCCCCCGCACACACATGTGTGTTCCCCCGCACACACATGTGTGTTCCCCCGCATACACATGTGTGTTCCCCCGCATACACATGTGTGTTCCCCCAAACACACATGTGTGTTCCCCCGCACGCAAACGTGTGTCCCCCCGCACACACGTGTGTGTTCCCCCGCATACACATGTGTGTTCACCCACACGCACACGTGTGTTCCCCCGCACACACATGTGTGTGCCCCCGCACACAGATGTGTGTTCCCCCGCACACACATGTGTGTTCCCCCGCATACACATGTGTGTTCCCCCGCACACGCATGTAGGTTCCCCCGCACACACATGTGTGTTCCCCCGCACACACATGTGTGTTCCCCCGCACACACATGTGTGTTCCCCCGCATACACATGTGTGTTCCCTCGCACACACATGTATGTTCCTCCGCACAAACACGTGTGTTCCCCCGCACGCACATGTGTGTTCCCCCGCATACACATGTATGTTCCCCCACGCACACATGTGTGTTCCCCCATACACACATGTGTGTTCCCCCGCACGCAGATGTGTGTTCCCCCGCACGCACATGTGTGTTCCCCCGCACACACATGTATGTTCCCCCGCACACACATGTGTGTTCCCCCGCACACACACATGTGTGTTCCCCCGCACACACATGTGTGTTCTCCCGCAAACACATGTGTGTTCCCCAGCAGCTGAGGCTGCGGTCACGCCATCGCTTTGCGATAGCAACCACAGCTGTCAAGTTTCTTTGCGATGACCGTTCAGCCAAAACCCTTGACCAGCAACAAAAGCAAAGACCTTTTCGCGCGCGCGCGCGTTGTTGGGCCTCGGCACTGGGGCCTGGCCTCGCTCGGCCTCGGGAGCGCCCGGGCCTGGACCTGGCCTCGCTCGGCATGGGCCTCGGCAGCGCCTGGGCCTCGCCCTCTCGCAAGGCCGCCCTCGGCCGCTCTCTACATGTCGCCAAGCTCTTCTTCGGCATGTCGCAAAAACACTTCTTGTTTTTTTTTTTGAAAATTGCAAGAATTTTTGAAGGCTTCCACGATGACTGCCTTCGACAACAAAGAAGCTTGTTGTGCTACACATCATGACATGTGTACAACATCGATCCATATCGCTTCTTAATCGACGTCAACTAAAGAACTCTACATCATTGCAGCCTGGGTTCTTGCATGGAAAGGGGGCTGGGCCTGGTAGGCCTGTTTTGGGGTTTGGGGCATCTCTGGGGCTGGATTGGATTTGGGGTCTGGGGTTTGGGGTCTGGGGCCTGGGATTTGGGGCTGGGTGTGGGTTTGGTTGGGCCTGGGTTTGGGTGCCTGGATTGGGGCCTGGATTTGGCCTGGATTCTGGGCCTTGGGGCCTGGAAAGGGGGCTGGGGCCATAGAAATTGTTAAGGGTTTGGGTCCCAAAAACGTTTGGCCGAAACGTTTGGCCGAGTTTTTTTTGCGAACCATGTTTTCAATTTTCTTGGGGGGCTGCGAAACGTTTTGAACGAAACTTGGGAGCGAGACGTTTTGACCGTCCCGGGGCTGGGGCTCAGGCTGGGGCTGCAGAACTTGTCCCTAAATCCTAATTCTCAAGAACGTGCATGTTGCAGCTGCATGCAGGATCATATTTGGGTCCCAAAAACGTTTTGAACGAAACGTTTCGAACGAAACGTTTTGACCGAAACGTTTTGACCGAAACGTTTTGCCCGAAACGTTTTGCCCGAAACGTTTTCACCGAAACGTTTTGAACGAAAGTTTTTTTTTTGCGAACCATGTTTTCAACTTTGCTGGGGGGCTGGGGCTCTTGGGTGCCATAAACGTTTTGAGCGAAACGTTTTGAGCGAAACGTTTTGGACGAAACGTTTTGAACGAAACTTTTGAACGAAACGTTGTGACCGAAAGTTCTTGCCTGGGCTGGGCTGTGGCTGGGCTGGGCTGGCCTAGGCTGGGTCGGGCTTCTTGGACTGCCTGGTGGGCTGGGTTGCCTGGGCTGAAGGTTGTAGAGAAATTGGTTTATCAAGAAGCTTGTTCAATTTTTAACTTCTGTGTTGGGCCGTAGCGGTGGTTACAAACAAGGACAAGCAATTTCTATTTATCACTTTCTTGAGGGTTTAGGGTTTAGGGTTTAGGGTTTAGGGTTTAGGGTTTAGGGTTTCCCATCGTAAGCGGCGCGCCTCGACCCAGAGGGTCGCGGGGCGGCGCGCCGAGCTGGACGCGACATCCCACCCCAAGACCACCCAGACATTAAATCTATTAGGGTTTAGGGTTTTTATTTTTTTATATCTATGAAATCCAATGTATTTTTGCAGTTGTCTCACAACGCAAACTGTTGGGCAACCTTTCTGGAACCAAAGAAGCATGTGTGTGATTTCGATATGGTTTTAATATGAGTTGTCATTTCTGAAACTGGCAAAAAGATCGCCCACCTAGATTTTACGAACATTCCAGCATGATTTCCTTATGTTGTTACTATGATTCCCAGCGCGGGATATAAATGTTTCTAAATTGTTTCGGCACGCCAAAACTTTGTCAAAAAGTCGTCAGCAGTAGTCCATTGTCCGGAATACGTTTGTTTCAGAATGGTCTACAGTGCTGTGCGTAGCAACCATAGTGGAATGCTACTTAAAGTAGAAAGAGTTTCACACATGCGAAGTATATCCGAATCACAAATGAACCTCAACTAGATGTATTCAAGGTAATTAATGGTTTTGGAAACCATTTTCGAAATCACCATAATTGTCATTTGAAGTCACTGTATTTGGTGAGTAACACGAGACAGCCTAGATATGTAGCATGAAGGTCACCGACAATAATGCAGCTATACCCCAGGGTTCCTAGTGCAGAAGATCCAGAGGCTGACCGTGCAAGGACCCCTGGGGCTGAGGAGCACCTTGCACGTGGAAGTCAGCATTTGGTGATGCACTGGGAAAGCGAAATAGCGGAACGTGTTACCGTCTTCCTAGTCTCGATCTCTGTTCTTCTCTGATGTTCTTTCTGGCCTGACAAGGCCGGGGGGCGGCATGGCCGTGCCCGTCGAGGCCGGGGCTTTTCCTCGACGATTTTATTGCTTATCAAATCTCAGGAGGTTCCTTCAATTTGTATCTCGCGTCTTCTCCTGGTCTTCCTTGTCGCTTGATACAGCCGGGGGGCAGTGCGATTGTACCCGTTAGGCGTCCTCTAGCCTGACTCAGAGCGAAGTGTAGTATTGTACTGAGGCGAAAGAAAGCTTTTTATCTGCGGCTTTCGCGCACCTGACAAGGCCGGGGGGCGGCACGCCGCATCCGTCGTGGCCGGGGTTGCCAAGCTATTGTCACATACCGCCTTAAGCTCGTGGTGGCTCTCACACTCTCTGGCATCAGTGCAAGCAGTGGAGGCCAGCAGAAATAGCAAGCAACAGGAACCAAAGCACACCATGAACTTCCGCTGCCGCCTAACATGATGACTGGCACAAGTAGTACTAGTTACTAGCCAGCAAAAACGACAACCGACAAGCACTAGAGACAAGACCATGAAACCAGGCTGCAGCCTGGCATGGTGGCTGGCAGTCCTGCAATGCTTGTGGTCAGGCGTGCCAGTTCAGCTGTGTGATCGCGCCCCGGCGCGTGCACAGGCTGTCTGGCCAAGCTTGGGCCGACACGAGCGGCGCAGACTGACCGAGCAGCTCAACAAAGCTTGGGCAGGCCCGGCACAGCGCCGTGCCAGACTGCTGCGTCCTCGCTTGCGAGCGAGTCGTGGCCGCCGGCACGTGCGACAAGGGCAGGCCCCGAAGAACTTGCCTACCTGGCGGGGCTGGCCGCTACGAGGGCAGCGAATCGGGGAAGCTCAGCATCCAGGCCCCGCGGCAAAGGAAACAGAGCACGAGGTCGTCATCCGCAAAGATTTTTGGACGGGGCTTCTGGATGCAGCTCCCCAAGCCACTCCCAAGGAGAGCAGACCTAAGTTCAGCCAAGTCGAGTGGGAGGCAGCCGCAAAGAAAACGTATCCCCAGACACTGACAGCGCTGCTGAACGGCAAGCCCGTGCTGCTGCCCAAAAAGCTTGCGGCGCCGTGGCGCAGCTTCCAGCAGCTAGACGTTGGGCGCAGGCTCGACAAGGGGCCAAAAGACAGAACATCTAACAAGCAGTAGTCTAGCAAGCAGTGCAAGCGACAGCATGCAATCATAGACATGGAAGGACATACTGTATCACGTTCGTAGCGAATCAAAAGCATTTGAACCCATTGCAGTCTAAAGAACGGCTGCCAATATCAGGCTTGCAGCGACGGCAGCGGCTGGAATCTATTGCTTTCCAGAGCACAACGCCGGCCAGGACAAGCAACTGCGGCACGACCTTGACACATGGGACGGTGGCTCGTTTTCCCCTTCGCCGGAAGAAGTTCAACGCTGCGAACAAGACTCCTTCGAAGAGGACCTCATGTCCGAGGTGAACTACGATCCATCCACTGAGGAAGAGGAGGAATGCGTTCCGGGTTGCGCAGAGGAGAGCAGCGCAGACCTTCAAGCTTGGCACTTCCAAGCATCGACGACTCTGACGACTCCAGCAAGCAACAAGAGGAGACGGCTATGGAAAAAAACGCCGCCGCCGCGCGTCGTGCCGGAAGGCTATCAGGCAATCCTTCCCGAAAAGCTGCCAGACTCCATCTGGGCCCGAGAAGCTAAGGTCTCCGTGTACACAGTGGACTTCAAGACCGCGAAGAACAAGCCTCTGAGTTTGCAGCCCCTCCAGATCCCGGAACTTCCTTGCACGCATCCAGAGCTCTTCTGCATAACGGGAAAAGAACAAGGCCAATGCTACTATGCCGCCAAACCTCTCTGGCACAGCGCCACAGCGCGCGCGGTTCTACAAGCATGTGAGGATGTGCAAACGGCATACAAAAGACTGCCGTTGCTTTTGTCGCCCAGCACCTGGAAAACTGCTGCCGGCATCCTCGCAGACAAAGCGAACGACATCTGGTGCGGGGACACCCCGGTGACAGATGGACAGAGCGAGTGCAGCCCTGCAGCGGCAAAGAGAATCGGCCTTCTGCCGCCGGACGCAGGGCCGGACAAGCCCTGCTTGTACTCGCCGTTGCAGATCCGAGGGGTCTTGCCTTTGAGTGCCCTGGAGTGCTGCCTCTGCAAAGGCATGCTAGTTGTCGATGTGTATCTCCAGAAAGGCATAAGGCTTCGCAAGGAGTGTCGAAAAGTGCATTGGAACCGGAGTGACTCGGCAGCAAAAAGACTGTTGAAACTTGGCAGGCACGGTTGCAGAAGTATAGCTAGTTAAAACCTCATGCGTGCCTGTCAGGTGACCCCAACATAGAGCACGGCTTCGCTGTTACTCAAACTACGGAGGCTGCCATGAAGCCGGCAACCATCAACTCGCAGGCCGCAGCGGCTCTAATGATGCGTGCATGCAGCCTCCCAACGGCGGTCGAGAGGCGCGTGGCCATCGCAGCTCTGTCGAGCTTGGTGAAGCAGTTGCAAGAAGACACTGTCGAGCAGTTGAAGTCGGTTGCTTGGGGCTTGCCCGATGGCACGCGGAAAGCTCGCAAGGGAGTAGCACGAGTGCTGCACGACTCGCCGCCGTCGCGAGCGGCCGCTGGCCTGGCATCCCAAGATGCAGACAAGGAGGTCATCGAGCGTGTGCCCCAGCATCTACTCCGCGTGCGGCTGTGCGAAGACGACACTGAAGAGCCGGCGGAGAGCGACCGGAACCTCGTCACGAAGACCGTGGCAGAGGCGCAGCATACACACATCAGCAAGGGAACCAAGCGTGCGCTGCTTGGTGGCGGCGGAGCCTTCAACGGTGCTTTAACACAGCAGCGCAACGACCCGCACCTCACACTGGCGGGAGGTGCCTGGGTGCTTTTCGCTCTCGCTGACTGCACTGGAGACCTTGAGGCCATGCTAGGTAGAGCTTGATGTTGAATCGGGAAATGTAGAAGGGAGAGAAAGAGCGAGAGAGAGAGAGAGAGAGAGAGAGAGAGAGACAGAGAGACAGAGAGAGAGAGAGAGAGAGAGAGAGCGAGCGAGAACGGGAAATACGTGCTAATTAGTAGCCTTTATTTCCATTGGCCAGTGAGACTGCTGTGCTGCTTGCAGGACCGGCAATGCTGGATCATTAGTGAAGGCCGCTCCATCGTCGGTCCGGTGGTAGTCTGGAGGGTGCCGGTGGCGGGTCCCAGCGATTTCCAGATTTGGGAGGCCCGACCATGGCCGCGCGACCTTTGGGCTAGACCGAACAATTGCTGCGTTTGCAGCACAAAAGGTTTGGGCATCACAGCCTTGGGCGGTGGCGACTATGACGGTGACACCATCTTCGTCACGGCCAACCGAGGACTCCTCAACTTCATCGACCAGACGGAAGAGGCCGTGCGCAACTTGCCGCACGCGGAGGCCGCAGGCATCAAAGAAGTCATCGAGAAAGAGCCGCGGACGGCCTGGTCTGCAAAGAACCTTCTCCAGCGAGCCTCCGAATATGTACGGCATGTGTTGAGAGTGCCGACACTGAATGTCCGTGGGACGGCCACACGGTACTCGGAGCTCGTCCAGGACGGGTTTTCCCAAGCCGCCGTATTCCCGAAGATTTGAAAATATGCACTGCTAGCGTCTGCGTTTCTGAAGCCCTCTTTTGCGCAGGAGGCCGTCGTGGTTTCGGAGGGCGACCCAGCACTGGTTCGCGCGGCTTTGAAGCAAGCCATCCTGACCCATCTCGCCTACGACGCACCGCACAAGACATCGGCGGAGGCAGTCCTTCGAGTTGGGCGCTGTCTACTTGGACAGGCAGGAGTAGGGACCGCAGGCGAAAGCAGCACCTGGGGCAGCGCCGTCCGCACGGCGCCGTCCGTACGGGCAGTGGGGGCCGCCCGAACCGGCCGTCCATACGGGCAAGGGTGGTCTCCTTCATTAAGAAGGCAGAGATAAGGGACCGCCGTCCGTACGGGCAGGGGGCCGCCCGAACCAGCCGTCCGTACGGACAGTGGGGTCCTCCTTCATTAAGAAGGCAAAGATAGGGGAGCGCCGTCCGTACGGGCAGTGGGGGCCGCCCGAACCGGCCGTCCATACGGACAGTGGGGTCCTCCTTCATTAAGAAGGCAAAGATAAGGTATGGGTCCAATTGGACGTAAAGTATTTCGTTCATAAAGAAGGCAAAGATAGGGGAGCGCCGTCCGCATGGCGCCGTCCGTACGGGCAGTGGGGGCCGCCCGCACCGGCCGTCCGTACGGGCAGTGGTGGTCTCCTTAAGAAGGCAAAGATAAGGGACCGCCGTCCGTACGGGCAGTGGGGGCCGCCCGAACCGGCCGTCCGTACGGGCAGTGGTGGTCTCCGTCAATAAGCAAAGCTAAGGGACCGCCGTCCGTACGGGCAGTGGGGGCCGCCCGAACCGGCCGTCCGTACGGGCAGTGGTGGTCTCCTTCATTAAGAAAGCAAAAATAAGGGAGCGCCGTCTGTACGGGCAGTGGGGGCCGCCCGAACCGGCCGTCCGTACGGGCAGGGGGTCCTCTTGCACGCGGAGCCGTCCGTACAGGCAGTTGGCTGCCGAACCCGGCCGTCCGTACGGACAGTTGGGTCCAGTGCCGTCCGTACGGGCAGTGGGGGCCGTCCGTACGGGCAAGGGTGGTCTCCTTCATTAAGGAGGCAAAGACAAGGGACCGCCGTCCGTACGGGCAGGGGCTGCGTTTCGGAAATCTGGAAAACTGCAACTGATTTTGGAGTTGTTTTTTCTTTTCATAAAATGTGCATTTTGACCTAGGCACGGCGCCAATCTCGAGGTCCCCTCCTTTCTTTTCATGTGGCTGCTCTTGGCGGTGAGTGCACGCGGCGCCGTCCGTACGGGCAGTTGGCTGCCAAACCGGCCGTCCGTACGGGCAGTGGGGTCCAGTCTGCTGGTTGTCCGAGATGCGGCCGCCCGTCCGTACGTGCACTTGGTGCGTACAGGGAGTGCACACGGACCGTCCGAAATGCGGTCGCTCGAACCGGCCGTCGGTACGGCCTTCCGAAGCCATTTAGGATCCCGACCCTAGGGTTTAGGGTAATAAAATATACTATTATTTATTTCTACGCTTGAAGCGTAATGCACCCTCCGAAGTGAACGAATGCGGGTACGGAGCACGAAGCTAACTCTTCGCGCTCAAGCTGCAGGCGGTAAGCATCCGTTCTTGACACGGATGCCGGTGCTCAGCGCACGTGCGCTGGCGATGCCATAGGCTCCTAGACGTCGCGACAGGCATCACCAGCTTTAGTTTAGGGTTTAAACCCTTCAATTTACTTAAACCCTCGCGGGGGGGGTCAAGGTTTAGGGTTTAGGGTTTAGGGTTTAGGGTTTATAGAAATTGTTAAGGGTTTGGGTCCCAAAAACTTTTTGACCGAAAGTTTTGACCGAAAGTTTTGACCGAAAGTTTTGACCGAAAGTTTTTTTTTGCGAACCATGTTTTCAAATTCCTTGGGGGTCTGGAGCCTGGATTTGTGGTCTGGGGCCTGGATTTGGGACTGGACCTGTGGAGCCTGGATTTGGGGCCTGGGGCCTGAGTTTAGGGTTTAGTTCAAGGTTTAGTTTATGGTTGACTTTAGGGTTGAGTTGAGGGTTTAGTTTTGGGTTTGGTTTGGAGTTCAGGGTTGGGTTTGCAGTTTAGGGGTGGGTTTAAAATTTAGGGTTGGGTTTAGGGTTGAGATTGGGCTTGGGTTTAGGGTCGGGTATAGGATTGAGTTTAGGGTTGAGTTCAGGGTTTAGTTTAGAGTTGAGTTTAGGGTTTAGTTCAAGGTTTGATTTAGGGTTGAGTTTAGGGTTTAGTTTAGTGTTTGTGTTAGTGTTGAGTTGAGGGTTTGGTTTAGGTTTTAGTTCAGGGTTGAGTGCAGGGTTTGAGTTCAGGGTTGATTTTAGGCTTTAGTTTGAGGTTGAGTTTAGGGTCGAGTTTAGGGTGGGTTTAGGGTTTGGTTGGGGGTTTAGTTTAGGGTTTGTTTTAGGGTTGAGTATCGGGTTGAGTTGCGGGCTGAGTTTAGGGCTGGGTTACGGGTTGATTTAGGGTTTGTTTTAGGGTCGGGTATAGGGTTGAGCTTAGGGCTGAGTTTAAGGTTTAGTTTAAGGTTTGGTTCAGGGTTTGGTTTAGGGTCTGGTTTATTGGTGATTCAGGGTTAGTTTAGGGTTCAGTTCAGGGTTTTGTTTATGGTTGCGTTTAGAGGTTAGGGTTGAGATCAGGGTTGGGGTCAGGGTTTAGTTTAGGGTTTGGTTTAGGGTTTAGGTTAAGGTTCAATTCAGGCTTTAGTTTAGGGTTGAACTTAGGGCTGAGTGTCAAGGTTAAGGTTGACGTCAAGGTTGAAGTTAGGGTTTAGTATAGGGTTCAGTTTAGGGTCGAGTTTAGAGATTAAGGTTGAAGATAGATTTCAATTTGTGCTTCGAGGGATGAGAGTTTAGGGTTGGGTTTTGGGTCTTAGAGCTTAGTTTAGGGCTTAGTTTAAGGTTTGGTTTATGGTTAGGTTTAGGGTTTTGTTTAGGGTGCCGTTTAGGGTTCGCTTTTAAAGTTTGGTTTAGGTTTTGGCTTCGGTATGAGTTTAAGGGTTTAGTTTATAGTTGAGTTTAGGGTTTAGCTTAGGGTTGAGCTTAGGCTTTAGTTCAAGGTATGGTTTAAGGCTAGGTTTAAGGTTTGGTTTAGGGTTTGTTTTAAGGTTCGGTTTAGGTCGTGGTTTAGGTGAGTTAAGGGTTGAGTTTAGAGTGGAGTTTAGGGTTGAGCTTAGGGTTGAGTTTAGGATTTAGTTCAGGGTTAGGTTTAGGATTTGGTTTAGGGTTTGGTCCAGGGTTTGGTAGAGGGTTTGGTTGAGGGTTTGGTTGAGGTAGGGTTCAGGGTTTAGGTTTAAGGTTTAGTTTAGGGTTTAGTTGAGGGGTTAGTTTAGGGTTGAGTTTAGGGTTTGGCTTAAGGTTGAATATAAGGTTGAATTCAGGGTGTAGTTCAGGGTTTAGTTTAGGGTTTAGTTTAAGGTTTGGTTTCGGGGTTAGTTTCAGATCTAATTTAAGGCTTAGTTTAGAGTTTAAGGGTGGCTTTAGAGTGTCGGGTTGAGTTTAAGGTTTAGTTTAGGGTTTAAGTTAGGCTGTAGTTTGGAGTTGAAAGTTGGGCTCGGGGCTTAGATGTGAATTTAGGGTTTAGTTTAGGGTTTAGTTTAGGGCCTCTAGGTTAGTTGAGGGTTTAGTTGAGAGCTGAATTCAGAGTTGAGTTTAGAGTTTAAAGTTGTGTTTCGAGTTTAGGGCTGAGTGTGGGGTTTAGGGTTGAGTTCAAGGTTTAGGTTAGGGTTTAGTTTAGGGTTAGGTTCAGGGTTTAGGTTAGTTTAGGGTTTGTTTTAGGGTTTGGTTTAGGTCTTGCTTTAGGGTTCAATTTAGGGTTGAGTTTAGAGTTGAGTTAAGGGTTGAGGTTGGGGTTGAGTTTAGGGTTGAGAGTTTAAGGTTAGGGTTGAGGTCAGGGATGAAGTTTAGGGTTGAGTTTAGGGTTGAGTGAGTTTAGGGTTGAAGTCCGGGTTGAGGTTAGGGTTGAGTTTAGGGTTGAGTGAGGTCAGGGTTGAGGTCAGGGCGGAGGTTAAGGGTTGGGTTTAGGGCTGTGTTCAGAGTGTGGGGTTGGGTTTAGAGCCCAGGTTTGGGTTTCGAGTTTAGGGCTGGGTTTCGAATTTAGGGCTGGCTTTTAAGTTTGAGAAGTTGGGTTTAGGCTAGAGTTTAGGGTTTAGTTTTGTTTTGGGTTCAGTTTAGGGTTTTGTTTAGGCCTTACCCTAGGGTTTAGTTTGGAGTTGAGGGTCGGGTTTACAATTTAAGGGTGGGTCTGGAGTTTAGGGTTTGGTGTCGGGTTTGGTTTAAGGTTTAGTGTAGGGTTTGGTTCAGGGTGTAGTTTAGGGCTGAGTTGAGGGTGTTTTTAGTTTGGCTTAAGGTGGGTTGAATGCAAGGTTGGGGTTAGGGTTGAGGTTATGGTTGAGGATAGGGTTGAGTTTAGGGTTCAATTTCGGGTTGAGTTTAGGGTTTAGTTCAAGGTTTAGTTTATGGTTGGCTTTAGGGTTGAGTTGAGGGCTTAGTTTTGGGTTTGGTTTGGAGTTCAGGGTTGGGTTTGCAGTTTAGGGGGTGGGTTTAAAATTTAGGGTTGGGTTTAGGATTGCGATTGGGGTTGGGTTCAGGGTCGGGTTTAGGGTTGAGTTTAGGGTTGAGTTCAGGGTTTAGGTTCTGGTTGACTTTAGGGTTTAGTTCAGGGTTTGATTTAGGGTTGAGTTTAGGGTTTAGTTTAGTATTTGTGTTAGTGTTGAGTTGAGGGTTTGGTTTAGGTTTAGGTTTTAGTTCAGGGTTGAGCTGAGGGTTTGAGTTCAGGGTTGAGTTTAGGGTTTAGTTTGAGGTTGAGTTTAGGGTCGAGTTTAGGGTGGGTTTAGGGTTTAGTTTAGGGGAGTATCGGGTTGAGTTTCGGGCTGAGTTTAGGGCTGGGTTACGGGTTGATTTAGGGTTTGTTTTAGGGTCGGGTATACTCTGGGGTTTAGTTTGGAGTTGAGGGTCGGGTTTACAATTTAGGGGTGGGTCTAGAGTTTAGGGTTTGGTGTCGGGTTTGGTTTAAGATTTAGTGTAGGGTTTGGTT